CAGCCACAGCTTCTCTGGGCAAGCCATGCCAGGGCCCCACCACCCTCACAGGGAGGAACCTGTCCCCAGTATCCCATCTCACCCTCCCCTCTGGCAGTGGGAAGCCACTCCCCCTTGTCCTGGCACTCCAGGCTCTTGTCCAAAATCCTTTTCCAGCTCTCCTGGAGCCCCTTTAGGCACCGGAAGGGGCTCCAAGGTCTCCCCAGAGCACAGCCCAGACTTCGGGGTTCGCCACTAATAACAGGAACGTTTGGAACCCTCTGGCTGCCCCCCAGAGCTCTCCACAGAGTTCCCATGGCATGGCTCCCTCGCCCCAGTGGGAGGGCACCCCGGGCTCACCGGCTCCAGGGATGGGTGGCAGGTTCAGGCCCTTGGAAGCCACGGGTTTCCTCAGCTGCTTCAGTTTGTCGATGCGAAGGTTCTCCAGCTTGTGCAGGGCCATGAGCCCCGAGGTGCCCATGGGCTCCCCGGGCACCACGTCCTCCAGCGTGGACAGGTCCTCGTAGCTGCCACCGGCGTTCCCTGCCATCTCCACGCCGCTGTCGTTGTTGGTGGTGCTGCCCAGGGGCGAGTGGTCACTGCTGCAGGACGACTGCCCGCCCGGGCTGGGCTGCGGCTTCTGGGGGAGCAGAGAGGGGACCGAGGGAGAGGGGTCAGGTGTCCACTACACTTGGAACCAGGGAATCACAGAGGCTGGAAAAGCCTCTGAGACCACCGAGTCAAACCATTAACCCAACACTGCCACGTCCCCAGGTGCCACATCCACACGATTCCCGAACACTTTCAGGGGTGGGCCCTCCACCACTCCCCTTGGAACCAGGGAATCACTGAGGCTGGAAAAGCCTCTGAGACCACCGAGTCAAACCATTAACCCAACACTGCCACGTCCACCACGTCCCCAGGTGCCACATCCACACGATTCCCGAACGCTTTCAGGGGTGGGCCCTCCACCGCTCCCTTGGGCAGCCCCTTCCACAAAGAAACTTTCCCTGATGTCCGACTTAAATCTCCCCTGGCACAACTTGAGGCTGTTTCCCCTTGCACTATCACCTGGGGGTGACCCCCCCCCCCAGCTCCTCACCAAGGCCAGGTCGGGCACCAGGAGTTTCCCGTCGTCCTTCCGGGCCTCGCCGGGGCCGTTCGTGTCCTTCTCCTGCTTCATGTCCGGGGGGGCGCTGGGGGTGGGCAGCGCCCGGCCCGGCCCCACGTCCCCCCGGTGCTTCTTGGTGACGTGGGCGTCGGGGCCGTGCACGGTCTTCACGTGTTTCCTCAGGGAGCTGGGGTCCGTGTAGCGCTTGGTGCAGCCGGGGATCTTGCACACGTACGGCTTCTGCCCGGGGGCACCGGCGGGCACGGAGCGGGGTCAGCTCCCGCCAGAGCCCCCTCCCCTAAAGCAAAACCCCCTCCCCTTCCCTCTGCATCGAAGAGGGTGAGTCCCCTGGGGTGAGTCCCCTCGGGTGAGTCCCCTCGGGTGCCGGGGGGAGAGCTCAGGGAGGCTCCCCAGGAGCGGGATGAAGGGATCCCGGCGGGAACGCCGGTGACCAAGGGGGCATTCAGAGCAGGCAAAGAGGGAGCTGGGGCGCACAGGGTTGAAAAGGAGGGGTGTGGGGAGCTGCTGGAGGACGGGAGCGACGCAGAGGAGCCCGAGGCGGGGCCGTACCTCGTTGGAGTGGGTGCGGTTCTGGTGCTTGGCGCGGTCGGAGGCGTTGGAGAAGGCCTTGTTGCAGCCCTCGTGCTCACACACGTAGGGCTTCTCCCCCGTGTGCGAGCGCAGGTGAGTCTTGAGGTTCTCCAGGCGGGAATAGGC